CAGAAATAAACCCTCTCTCTTCTCCTCCGTACCCAAATCTCTAAAAACGGGGGTACAACGGAGCTGATCCAGATTTGCGTCCGATATGACGTCATATCGGCAATGCAGACCGACAGAAACGTTGCTATCAGAAACAATGCCCGACTGTTTTGGACGTAATATGGTCGGTGTTTACATTAGCATCGCTAACACTCAGAGCTAACCTGTACTGGAGAGCATGTGTGTGAAGAAGCAGGAAGTAAAAAGGAACTCACCTTGTGGTATAACCGGCAAGAGAGAAAGCCTTTGAGCTCCATACTGTTTCAGAGATAATCCTTGATAATCCATGATATGGCGTTTCATCACCGCAGTATTTAGTTTAGACAGTAGCTGCCGGGTCCCGCATGAGCTCAGACCCCTCCTTTTTTATTTGTTATCACATTTTTTTTATTTAAGCTTTATACCCAAAATCAGCACTTTTGAAACAGGAAGTGAAATAGAGGGATATGAGGAATGGCTAGAATGGGTGATCTGTTTGGTATTTTGAGCAAAACACTTCATAGCCATGTTTTTTATATATTTGTATATATCTGAGACCTATGCTATTGCCTAAAAATAGCATGCTAGGTGACCTTTAAAGTAAGAAATAATGAGCAATGAAATAAAAAAATAAATAATGAGATAATTTAGAATAAAACATGTTATATTAACATGAGGTGAAAATGTGCAAAATGAATAAAAGTAAAAATGTGCAATAAGAATATAACATAAAATACAAGAAGAAACTATTTATATGTAAACATTAGAGCCTAAAGTTAAAATGTGAGAAGATAATTGATTTTAAAGCTGAAAATCAACATTTTAGGGTGGCTTTTTAAATCAGTGCTTCCTCTCGCTCCTCGCTCAGATAGATGTGTCTGTGCAGCACTCTGCAGCGTCTGGCATTGTGGGTAAATTACATCGCCTTTTAAAAATAGCCCAGGCTGCCACTCTGCGGGGCAGGGAGGAGAGGGAGGGGAGGGAAGGGAGTAAAGGCTGGTGTCTCAAGAAGCATTTCATGTTGAAAATAATCGGTGAATTAAGACGGAGAAGGACCCCGACGTGGAGCGCTGTACCTCAGTGAGGAGGGAACATGGTGTCCTGTTTGTATTCAGGCTGCTGGTTTTTACACGTTATCCAACACAACGTCTACGTTATTTACAGTTTACACGCTCAGGTCAGCTGTAAAAGTAGACCTCGATAATAAAGGGATACCACATCTACACAATTATAAATTACATACCAGTTACTCGCCCTGTGTTTCCTTAAATTCAGGAAGATATTGTAGTTTTTCTCTCGTTAGCCGTGCTATATCATGTCTTAGTGCTAAGCTAAGCTAGCCAGCTGATCACAAGCTAACAACAACAGAACGATATGAAAACATCCGTTCCCAAACTCTCACAACTCGGCAGTAAAATCCTCTCATTCAGTCACTTGTTCACATACTAGACTAGCATTAGGCTATTTCATTATTATTATGATATCACGTTAAAGTGAATATCTTTGGACACATAAAGACATCACCTTGAATCTTTAGCCGTTTTTGACACTTTCAAAACGTAACCATAAATGTAGAAGGTCATCAACGGATGAATTGATAATGGAAGTAATAGTTATTTTGCAGCAACATTACAAATCCATGCAAATCGTACTATTTCTGACACCCCTTAAAGATTTCTTATAGTTTTAATTCATTTCATTTATAGTTTCACTCGATTTTTGTATTATTTTCTTCACTGTGGAGGCATGAGTAAAACAAAACTGCCTTTTTTAAGATTCATAATTGCTCCTTTATTGCATTGCTTCTGATATGAAGCTTCTCAATTTGTGAACCCTCAGGATGCTGACGTATCAATAACGCGTCTAAACTTAGGTCATTGTTCCCTCGGCTGTCCATCAGCCTGCGTCACACATGATGTCTTTCTCTTTTCCATGCACACACACACACACACACACACACACACACACACACACACACACACACACACACACACACACACACACACACACACACTCTCAGTGCTGTGGAGTCTGAGTAGTGGAGTATTGATTCTTCTATCAGGGGAATGGGAGATTTAAATGGATACTATGACGGCCTCCTCTCCGGTTACCCTGCAGCCTTTCCTCCTCCAACGTGCTGCATCTCCTCCTGTCTCAGTTATACTCTGAAACATGCACATTTTAAGAGCCTTTTTGCAGTATTCTGTATAAGAGCTTTAAATATTTACTTTTAATATTTGATTAGGCAGTTTGAGTCATTTTTTTAAAAAGAAATAACATGTCAAAATTCTTTAATTCCTGCTTCTTAAATGTGCATTTTCTTCTCTGGTTTCATGACTAATTTATAATAATTGGTTGATTTTATTTGAGCTGTGGACAAGACCCCTAACCCTAACCCGGACATTTGAGGTAGTCATTCTAGGCTTTGTGAAGCAATGGGTGACTTTTTTTGTTACTTTCTTTAAAATGAGATTACGGACCATCTTTCCCTCAGTTTGACCACTAATCCTAACCACTCTGGCCTTTTGCCTAATCCTAAAATACTTCTCCATAAAAGGCTATTTTACTCTCAATTCCAACAATTAAAATGTACTTATGGTACACTCTTATCTTTAGTCCCAAATTGGAAATTAATTTTGATAAATAAAATACATCTCCAAAGAGGGCTATTTGACTCTCAATTCAAACCACTAAACTTTAATAATGGTATACCTTTACTTTAATCTTATTATTCAATTTATTTAGCCAACCACATACTCTCTCTACCCACTTTCTCATTCTGCTCTTTCCACTCCTAACCCCTTTTCCGCCCGAGTCCTTCGGGGTCTGATGAGTGATTAATGGGTTAAAACGGGGACGGCCATTTTTGCAGGGGAGGTATCCGCAGGTAACCACCGCTAACCTCCTCGTCTCTGTTCTTCAAGCTTATCTCACCTTCTCCACTTCACATCTTTCATTCTTTATGGTCCATTCATAATGCTATGCTAGGGTAAGGCCGACACGTCCTCTAGTGCGCGTGCCTTTCCTTGGATCTCTGTATAACCATGAAGTCGTTGGGCGACATGGGGAGATCCGGTGGCCCTTACAAAAACCTAACCCGGACATTTGAGGTAGTCATTCTAGGCTTTGTGAAGCAATGGGTGACTTTTTTTGTTACTTTCTTTAAGATGAGATTACTTTAGGTGTCCGTGGAAAATGAAATCGAACTTGTTGCATAGTAGAAGACCACAATCATCAACATAAAATGTGTGGTTTAAAATCAAATCAAAGAATAAAACTTACAAAAACATAGAACAGTCAAATCTGCGGTACACTACAAGAACATGGGACCAAATAACTCATCAATTAAGTAAAAGAATAGCTGACGGATGAATCCATAATTGAACTAATAGTTAAGTTGCAGTTCAAGTTTTCTTTTAGATGTTTACGGTTATTTTACAATCTGCTGTAGTCTTTATCATCGTACCTGGTATTTTTGATCCCATTTTCACTCAGTGGCATATTCGTAGATGTTCTGAAAGTTATAATAAAGTCCATCTCTAACAGTTTTCTTTGTGTGTGCAGGCGGTTGCAGAAGGTTTCAAAGAAGCCGTGCAGTACGTCCTCCCTCAGCTGATGATGGTCCCGGTTTACCACTGCATGCACTACTTCGAGCTTCTGCAGGTACGTCTAAAACTATGCATGTGAATAACTTAGAAATGATTGGTTTTCAGGGTTTCTAGAAAATGTCTGTTAGATTGTTTTGTGGTTTATAGTTATTTTGCCGATCACATCAAATGTGATTTTGCACAGCTGATATCTTGAATCTGCTTAAGTGCTTCTGGAAAGACACCTACAGTCTTCTGTGTTTATCAAATATACCCACAAAAGCGTTTTTTCCTGCATTTGTGATCAGCTTGAGCTTCAACCTCAGGATCCATGTATCTGTGATCCTCTCCAGAATGGAAGTAGTCATCACATACAGAGCATCAACTAGTTCCTGAACAGTGTCCTTCACATGCTGATATCCAAGAGAGGGAGTTCCACAGTCACAAGATGGAGGAATAGAAAGCAGTATTCAATGTTTACTTCAGATTAGCTCCACGTCAGAAATGAGCATGCTTGTCATATGTCTCTCTCCATAGAGGCTGAATCATCATGTTAATCACATAGCTATCATATGCCTCAAACAGTCCTGATGCTCTTCTAGGTAATCACACATCCTGTCATGTTCACAGCTACAGCTGGGATACCTTTGTTATCATGTGGACTCTCATATTGGAGGAGGACATTCACTATTTTCCCAACACTTTGTTTTTTGCAGCAACTGCAGGAGCGCAGTCAGGACCTGGACGACAGAGAGTGTCTGAAGCAGGCGATCACTGCGCTGCTGAACCTGCAGTGCAGCGTGGAGCGAATCTACACCAAGCACCAGCCTCGCCGCAAACCTGGGTACAAATCCTCGATTTCATATTCTCAACTATTCCCTAGTTTCTCTCATGGAAACATCGAAAGAAAAAGGTGACATGCATAGAAGCAGCAGCCGATGTTAGCCGTCATGGTTTTAAATTATGACGGAATCAAATATGAAGACGGTCCTTAATGTTGAAAGACAAGACGATGACTGAAGGCAACCTTACGTAACTAAAAAGTAATTTACAGCGTGTAAAAACGTATTTGTATGTAAAACTAGTATTTGTGCAAATGTTCCACAAATGACACAACTTTGATCAGGTGTGCAGGAAATATCTAGCTTCTTTTGGAGAGAAAAAAAGAAATAAATGGATTTTCAGAAGCCGTTAACCTTAAAGTAAATATTTTACAAAGATGTCATTGGAGCGTTCAGCGGCCGTGTATTAGAGTTTTATCTGTTTTATCCCCATTACTTATTACACAGAAAGCAGATGCTGCGTGGCATCAGTTCGCAGCAGGGGCCCCGTTCCACCGCCCTTATTTATTTACATATTTTTTAGGGATGTCCCAATCACCTTTTTTTGCTCCTGATCCGATTCCGATCATTTGATTTTGACAATTTGCCGATACCGATTTTTCCCGATCCGATCTTTATGCAATGCATTAAGAGGAAAAAA